GTCATTCCTCCTCCCCCTCCTCCTTTTCCTCCTCCTCCTCCTTCTCCTCCTCCTCCTCCTCCTCCTCCTCCTCCTCCTCCTCCTCCCGAAGCGGTATTTGACCGTCCCTGGACCCGTCGAGGGTTCCCAGAAGCGCCTCCACCCCCCAAAAAAGGAAAACAAAAAAAGGCTCCGCATGTGACGCGAGGAGGTCTGGGAAACCTGCCCCTGGGTTGTTCGCCCCTGGCGTCGCCTCCCCCCCCTCCTCGGCGGCGCCTTCCGCCCAGGAGCAGCCCCAGCGTGGCGCGCGGAGGCGGCCCCGTCGGCGACGAGGGGGCGGTTGCAAGTCGACGCGTAACTCAAAATCGGCCCCTGGACCCCTCCTAGGGTTAGGTCGGGCATGTCCTTCTCCAGGCGGATTTTGGACGAACAATACAATGATCAATATGGTTAAAAAAATTGCCCACAATAGTCGAAAATCGTCACCATCTGATTCTTCGGTTACTTTCGCATACTCCTCCTGTGGAGGAACAGGCCCGGCGTAATCCTAGGGTCCAGACGCAGCAATGCTCCGAGCTGCGCCCGGCCGTGGCGGCGAGGGGCCCCCCGAATGCCGGCTGCCGCTGCCTCAGCGCGCCCTCTTCTGGCCCTGGGCCCATCCCCCCCCGACGATGCCCCGTGGCCGTTCGCCCTTTGTTCGGCTACACGCAAGGGTGACCCTGGGTAAGAGTGACCTTTGGTGCGCGGCTTTTGGGGGGCCGCGGGGAGACCGAACTCAGGCGCGCAAGACGCTACTGTCGCACCGGAATCGGTGATCGGGGGACCCCATTTTGCCCGCACCAAAGGTCACTCCGGCGAAAGGTCACTCTGACGTGTAGTTGGTTTGTCTGGGGCGACGAGATCTACACGCTGCTGCTGCCCCGGGTCGGGCCGAAATCCCGGGCCCGGGAGCGGCGCGTGTGCCTCCCGGGCCAGGCCGCGAGGGCGCACACGCCGCTCGCTCCTGGGCCCCGGCGGGGCCTGGCCCGGCGCAGCGGATCTGTGTAGACCTCGTCGCCCTGCTGTGCGCCATCGCCGCCTCCCCCGAGGAGCCCACGGAGGGCGTGCGCGCCCAGCCACGCACGTGAGCATGGCCCCCCAAATCGCGAGGCCAACCTCGTGCCACGAACGTTCGCGCAGTGCGTACTCTCGAAACCAACGTGGATTCATGCGCTTGTACGTCCTGCTTTCGCTCCTGAGGGAGGGGGAGGGGGAGGGGGAAACCAAAACGTACACATACCGCTAATCCCCAAACCTCTCCTGGGGTGCGCTCTGACTAGAATTTCGAAGCGAATCGGACGGTGGCGACGAGGGCCTCCGAGGAGGCCCAGAAAGGCGGAAACGGAGCAAGGGTAGCAGTATGGATACATGTTCCCCCTCTGATGCTATACAGTATCGTTGCCTCCCCCTGTCAGCAACGCATCGGCTCCGTCGGCGTGGGGAAAACCGGGCTCCGCATGGAGCCGCATCGCCGATGTATCAGCGATGCGGCACGATTTCTTCCATCTGGGAGGCCTAGACGTTTCTACTCGGGCCCCACTTGGGGGGTCTGGACCCCCCATATCCTCGGTGGTTCAGAGATGGGGTCCTGAGGGATGGGGTCATGAGGACGAGGTGCCTCAGACAGCGTAAATCCACCCTCGGAACCCCTCCTATCAATAGGCCCCCATCCCTCAGCACGGGCGCCTAACTTCGCGCTCCGCGCTGCGCGAAGCGCGAGAGCGCGCATAACATCGCGCTGTCGCGCCGCCGCCCAAGGGAGACGAGGAGGCCGAGGAGAAGTCGGAGACGAGCCGCGCAGCGCGAAGCGCGAACAAAACTTCGCGCCCGAGGGCGCCCTTGATGAATAGGCGATATTTCGGAAGAGGCGGGGGAGCAGGAGGTGGAGGAGGAGGAGGAGGAGGAGGAGGAGGAGGAGGGGGAGGAGAAGGAGGAAGAGGAGGAGGAGGAGGAGAAGGAGAAGGAGTTACGGAGTTACGGATATAGCGACCATGTCGGTTACGATTAAGCTCCGCCCGCTCAGAATACCTCGGAGAGATTGCGAAGCAATACCTACATGGGCACTCCTCCCCCTGATCACGGCAAGGGCCGCGACGACCAGGAAGCCCCGCACCAGGACAGAGTAGCCGCTCACCATATTGCGCGAGACGCTCATGCCCCTCCAGCTGTCGATGTCCAGGGGCGAGATGAGAAGCCCGAAAACAAAATGAATTGAAACGGCAAGAGCGTTTCTGACACCAAGCAAGCAGCGAATGTACAGTCCCACAAGCAAGAATAAGCGAAAATATATGCCTTTCTTGCCCTGCGGGCCTGGGCAAGGCCCAGCCGAAATATAGCCAAGCCCCCTCCGATGCCGTAGAGGAGCCCGACTCCTGCAGTGGCCCGAACAACACGCCCGAGCGAAAAAGTCCACCCACCAAAAACCATAGCTACTGGTTCTTGCAGTCGTCGTTTGGTGTTGAAGTAAGGAGTGCAGCAGACGTGGAAGGCTGCCCTTGCTACTCCGTAGCCCTGTTCAACTCGGCCAAGACATCTGACGTGAAAGCGAAAGCCTCACCTTGCCGACGGTCAGGCACGGCAGCAGCGGTTCCGCCCCGCAAAATCTCGCCATCTGCAACCAGCGCCGCGCGCCGCCTGGCCCATGCGCCGCCGTCGGCAGACGACACGCCAGGGCAGGGTTGTGGGGGATCCTGCGAACTCACTCCTCCTGCCCTTTCGCACCCTCCTTCAGCACGTGGTGCGCCAGGCTGTTCGGCCGCAAACGCCACAACCTTCGGAGAAAGGTGGCCAGCGTCAGGGGCACCTCCAGGGGCTGCCAACTCCACCTCGCCGCCCGCCTGCACCGCCTCGCCATCCCTCCCCAGGGCAGCCTTCTCCCGTGGGGGCCCTGCTGAGGCTGCGGGTAACTGCGAGGTCAATGCTGGTGTTGGCGACGCGCCAGCCTGCTCGCCCTCAGGCGCCGGGCCTGGAGGAGGTACAGGACGGGCTCCATCGGCTGCACCAGCCGGCTCGCCAGCCAACGCTTGGCGGAGCGCTTGGGCGAGGCTCGTCAAGCCCTGACCCCTGTGCCGTTCGATCTCCGTGAAGGCGTGCAGGAGCCGAATGGCCGCGCGCCCATCCGCACGTGCATACTGAGCTCGGCGCTCGGCCGCAGTGCGATGGGGCCGGCGGCGCCGCGGCGCCTGATCCATGCCGAGGCCGGAGCGCGAGGCGAGAGGGAATGGTCGGAGCGGGAGCTCCTATAGTGCTGGCTTGGGGTTCGAGCCAGACTGGCTCGAGCCAAGCTGGTCACTGGAGGAGGAGGAGGAGGAGGAGGAGGAGGAGGAGGAGAAAGAAGAAGAGGAGGAGGAGGACGACGAGGACAAGGAGGAGGAAGAGGAGGAGGACGACGAGGACAAGGAGGAGGAGGAGGAGGACGAAGAGACCCCGGCCCGCGGGCGGCACCAGCCCGGCGCGCAGCGGCAGCCCGCCGGCGTGCACTCGCCGCGCCCGCAACACCCGCGCCGGCACTCGCCGGGCGGGGCGGCGCCCGGCAGGCCGGCGGGCTGATCGGCGGCGGGCTCCTGGCGGCGGGGCCCGGCACGTCGTCGTCGTCGTCGTCGTCGTCGTCGTCGTCGTCGTCGTCGTCGTCGTCGTCGTCGTCGTCGTCGTCGTCGTCGTCGTCGTCGTCGTCGTCGTCGTCGTCGTCGTCGTCGTCGTCGTCGTCGTCGTCGTCGTCGTCGTCGTCCGCGTCGTCCGTCGTCGTCGTCGTCGTCGCGTCGTCGTCGTCGTCGTCGTCGTCGTCGTCGTCGTCGTCGTCGTCGTCGTCGTCGTCGTCGTCGTCGTCGTCGTCGTCGTCATTTTCGTCGTCGTTTTCGTCGTCGTCGTTGTCGTCTTCGTCGTCGTCGTCGGCGTCGTCGGCGTCGTCGGCGTCGGCGTCGTCGGCGTCTGGTCTTTGGTCGCCCCCGACAGGCCAGCGAGTTCGGAGGTTTAGGCGGGTTTTCGGGCGTTCTTGGAGGTTCTCTCGCCTCGGGATGCTTTCTGACTGCCTACCAGACCACCCCAACCTGACCCCAAGACCCACATTTCGGGTTGGGGGGGGTTACAGGGTCCACATGTGCTTGTTCAATGTTCCCCGACGCCCCCCCACTGGGAATGGAGGAAAGGAAGGCAAAGAGTGGGGCCTTCGGGTTGGGCTGGGGCGCTTTGGTGCGTGGTGACTGTCCAGCGACTGCGCCTCGTCGGAAGCTTCCACGGGGGCCCCGAACGGCCGCCAGAGGCCCGAGCTATGACTGAAGTCGGGCGTGTCCCCCTAAAAATGAAAAACATCCCAAACATAATCAAAAAATAGTCCAAAGATAGTCTGGGGACTATTGTTTTCTATTGTTTTGGTATTTGTTAGGCTTTGGGGGGCATGTTGGGGGTATTTTTATTGTTCGTCGGAAATCCCCCTGTAGGGGGACACGCCCGACATAAAGCTATGACCCGAGGACCGAGGGGAAGGAGAGAGCAGGAGGAGCGAGAGACGGCAAAGGGGCCGCGCACAGCACGTCTGGGGGGCAGCGATCTCTCGGGCACACGCTGCATGCAAAGCGTACAGGGCAGTTTTAACACATAGGATTTTAAACATATGGGATTTTGATACATGATGAAATTATGAATAAATGTATGCATGAACTCATAGTTGTTTTTAATACTAAATCCCTGCATGTTTAATACATGATCCGCACGCGGAGCATGTATTAAAAACGGCACTGTATGGTGAGCGTGCGCGGCAAGGACGTAGGGCCTCTGAAGGCCAGGTTGGCGTCTGTCGAACGGGGCCGGCCAGCAGGAGTTCCCCCCAGGATGGGCCGAAGGGGCAAGGATGCAAGGGTAACCTTGGAAAACTTGCTCAGCAGGAGGAGGAGGAGGAGGAGGAGGACGACGAGAGGGGCGAGGAGGAGGACGAGGGGGGCGAGAAGGAGGAGAGGAGGAGGAGGAGGAGGAGGAAAAGGAGGAGGGGAAAGAGGAGGAGGAGGTCCTCACTGTGCGCTCTGACTGCAACTTTGGACTGGGGACCCGTGGACCTGGGGCGTGGGCGCCGGACCCACGGATCGGGGAGAGCACCCGCCGGAACGTGCCTCCGTCGACGAGTCTCTGGCCATCGCTCGGACGTCCACTCCCTGTGCTTTTTTCGGTTTCGTGCGTGGCTTTTTCGCCAAATGATCAAGGATGCTCCTCGATGGTCCTCGCCGAGAAAAAAAATGCACACGTCCGAGCGATGCCAGGGTCTCAGAACGTGCCCGCCGCCGTGAGAGAGCCGCGACGGGCGCTTGTCGCGGCACCTTTCGGCATCAGGGGGTGTCCCCGCCGGACCCCAGAGAGGATCGTCGAGGATCGGCTCGGGGCGGAGAGCTGGTCCCCGGGGGGAGGGGGTCCAGACGTCCAGACCTCTCGGGGGTCCACGTCTTGCCACATCAGGGCGTCGGGGATCCGGGGCCGCTGCGACCTCGTCCCTCGACAGCATGCGCACGCCCCACCTCGCCCCCCTCTGTGGATGATCCTCCGGTTGAGGCCAAAGTCAGCAACACTCCGCCCTCCCCCCGCAAAAAAGTTGGCACACTTGCGCATCACTGGTCCGGCACTCAAACTCGGAAGATCCGAACCCAACATTGCATTCGGGGGGAGGGGGGGGGGTCCAAATCATGTGTTGTGCGTGAGCGTTGCTAAATTGTTTTCGACACCTGTCGGAGCGTGTGTTAGCGCGAACGTGCGCTCGTCCACCGAAGCCCTTCAACACGACGCAGGCGGTGCAGCGAAAGCCGACACAGGCTGCTCGCTCGCTATCGGCGGAGCTGAGGTGGGTAAACATACATGTTGACGCTAACACACGTCCTGGGGATCATCAATGTTGGGGCCGCGCCCAGGGTTGAGGGACCCTGAGATCTGGGCGCTGCAATTGTTTCGCACTGGGCTGTTTTGCCTGGTTCCCGGCCCCGGGACCCTCACAGGTAGACCTGGCTCGTGAAATGGCGCAGAAGGATGGGGTCTGGGGATCCTGTCGTGATTTTCCACGACGTTGCATGCGTTGCTGCAAAGTCGGATCTCATGGGACAGCGAGATCGAGGGCGAAACTGAGACCACCGCCACCGAGAACTCATCGGGGGTGGGGGGGCATCGGGGGCGGGGGGGAGGGGCGATCCCTCGGCAGCGGCACGCCCGAGCGGCACCGAGTACAGAACGACGCTCAGGCGTGCCACCGCCCAGGGGCCGCGGATCTCCAACGAGGTGGTGTTCTACAACCCCAGCGTTTCTTTTGTTTCTCGGGCCCCTTGTTTTCAAATGGCCCTCATCCGCGTCGCCGCCCGCCTCGGCCAGGCACGGACTAGGTACCCCCAGCGGATCGATCGTCAAGTGATGAACGCGCTCGGATTCAAATCGCACACACACACACACACACACACACCTGACACTCACACACATAAGCAAACAAGCAAACAAACAAACATATATATTTTTTTTGCAAGCGCTGACCGTACAATGCGGTTTCTGCGGAATTGCCGGGCGGCGGCCGCCTTCAGCCATCATGGAACGTCAGCCCCACGACGCGGCTGGTCACCTACCAGCCGGCACTGCCGTGGTGCACGAGGGGGGCAGCCTCTGCGGCCTCCCTCGGCGCACCTGGCGAGTTCTAGTCTGACAGTAGGATGCGCCCCACACTTAAGTGAAGCTCTGCGGTCCACTGGCATATATAGGAACATCAAAATATGAAGGATACGTGTCTAAACTGAGTTCAAGGCAGCCGGGCCACCCCAAGCAGAGCGAGCAACAACCCAGGAAGGGCCAGAAGCGAGGTGCGGTTATCGAAGCGCCCCTCAGCGCCGACCACGGCGCGGGGTCCACGCGGCCATTTCAAGCAGAGGTCAAACGAGGCGACGTGCAACTAACAGCAAGACCTCTGCGAGAATATGCGCGTGAGATACAAGGGGCTACTCGACTACTTCTTGGCCAGGAGCAGGGCGCCCCTCCCTTTGCCCTTGCCCTTGACCCCAAAGGCTATCTTAGAGACTTCCTTGGCGTACTTGGATCTGGGGCCGTGGTCCTCGCCAACCGTGAGGCCCAACTCGCGCAGGAGGCTGAAGGCCTGGAAGATGCCCCACATCTCCAGGAACAGGGGCGCGCGATTGGCTGCAAAGATCCACTTGCAATAGGCTGTGTCTTCGATGCCGTCGGGGTCCTCCGTGCGCACGGTGAAGCACCGCGCGGCCGCGATTGGGGCCCGCTCCGCCGAGCCGCCCACGTGCTTGAGCCACGAGAGCGCCTTATCGGCGGCCGCGCGCGCCTCGGCCCCTTGCTCGCCCTCCACGCGCGCGAGCACGGCCTCCCTGTGCTTCTCCATGTGGTTCGAAAGCCGGAACATCAGGGAGTTGAGCATCGCCGTCGGCTTCTTCCCGTAAGGGTGGCCTTTGTAGTCCTCGCCCGCCTCGTACGCGGCCTTGCGCGCGGTGGTTCCGGCCTCCTGGCACCGCTCTACCATGACCGCCATCTCCGCCATCAGAGGGTGCTCCACGGGCCCGGTCAGCACCACGTTTTCGTCTCGCATCTTCTGGGCCCTCTCGTCGTCCAGGGAAATCGTCAACCTCGATAGAGCCTCCAGCAGCCGCAGCTCCTTGGCCCGATTGCCCTTCGGATGCGGCACCCGGTCGCCCTCCCCGTCGTCCCCGTCCTCGTCCACGCGCTTGGCCTTCCCCGCGTCCTTGCCCTTGGCCTTTTCGGAGCCCTTCCGGTCCTTCTGCCCTGGGAAGTCGGGGACCTGCTGCCTGCCGGCCGCGGCCGCGGCCGCGCCCCCTCCCTCGATCTTGGCCGTCTTGCGCGGCGGGGACGAGATCGCCTCGAACATGACCACGTCCGAAGCTGGCGCGAGCGGCAGGTGCGTCGGGGGGTGCCAGACCCAGGCTCGAGCCGAGATCAACGCGGCGGGCAGCGCTGTCAAGAGCATCGGGGGCAGCCGGAACAGGGGCCACTGGGTACGCCTGCGGAGCGCTAGCGGGCCTTACAGGTGCAGCAGCCCCAGCCTTGCATCTGGACCGGAAGTGTCGAATGAGGGTATCGCGACGTGTAAACGACTTGTGGCACTGCGGACACTGGAGCTGGCCGAGAGGAACGGACTCGACCAACTTATGCTTCCGGGCGAGATGGATACTGAGCCCCCGGGGACCGCGACACAGCACGCCGCACTCAGGACACGGCGTATGGGGCTCCGGAGGGTCCTCGACCAAAGTAGAAGCAAACGCGAGCACGACATTGATGGAGTCGATCGGGATCCGAGCCAGCCACTCCAGCCAGGACACAGTAAGCTGATCCAACCCTCGATCCACACCAAGCCCCTGAGCAAGCCCGCGGAGAGCATCGTCCCCGCGATCGTGCACCAACTGCAGATCCGATAATACAATGCGTTGCCGCACCGTCATCTGGCCCTCGACCCGCCCCCCCTCGAACTCGAACCTCCCGAAGAAAGCGGCCCTGACAGCGACCGTGGGGTCGTACTCTAGGGCGCCGAAGAGGGGGTTGTTATCATCGTCACGGAAAACGGGACTAACCA